GTCTAGGTTGTAAGTTATTTCTCCCTGAATAAACATCTATTCGGCCTATTTGTTTATCCTGACCCTTATTTACCGCAATATAAGTCTGTGTGTGAAAATCAACCGTCACAAAAGTAGCATGCTAAAGTAGTGGATTTACAGTTTGGATTTTGCATGCTAGGTGACTTAAGTTATTTTACACCCCGGTTCCTAGAGCTTTGTTCTCGCAGAACTGTTCTGTTAATTCACCACGCTATCTTCACTCTTAAATCTTTTCTTTTGTTAGAAAGTCACCTGTAAAGTCCCGACTTGATTTAGTTTCTTCTTATATATTTTAAAATGTTGTGACAGAGACTGGAGAGATGGGTTAGGGGTTAAGAGGACCTGAGTTTAGCTCACAACTTCCTGTAACTCCAGCTACAGGGGATTTTGATGCCTCTGGCCTCGGTGGGCACTTGCACTCACGTTCACATATCCATACACAGATACATATACAAATTATTTTAAAAATATTTAAAAGTGGCTGGGTGTTGGTGGCACACGCCTTTAATCCCAGCACTCAGAAGGCAGAGGCAGGGGGATCTCTGTGAGTTCCAGGCCAGCCTGGTCTACAAAGCAAGTTCCAGGACAGCCTCCAAAGCAATACAGAGAAGCCCTGTCTTGAAAACAAACAAACAAACAAACAAACAAAAAAAAAAACAAAACAAAATCTTTAAAAGTGTTACCACAGACCTAAATCCATTCTTAAAACACAGATCACATCAGGAATGAAATCACTTCTGGTGTCTGAAATAATTGTGTTTACATGAATCTTCCAGCTGGAAAAAACATTCATCTCATAGCAGGTAATTTTTTCTTTTAGGGGTGGGGTTCTGTTAACTTTGAATGCAGTGGAAGTATAGAGTTTTCTGGCTTTGGCAAAAATCATAAAACTGATGAAATTATAAAGCAGATGAAAACAAAACTTTTTAAGCCAGCTGTGGTAGACTCACACCCATCTTCAGGAGGTTAAGGTCAGCTTGCGTTTCATAGTGAGTTCTGGGGCAGTCTGGGCTAAAGTGTGAGATTGTCTCAACAAAACCAAACACTTAAGACAATTACCAAACCAAACCACAGCAGCAACAACAAAAACCCCTATAAAACAAATAAGGAGACTTTAGTTATAAAACAATTAAAAGGAATATTTGTTAAGCACAGGACCTAGAACTTCAGAGTGCACAGTGAACGAAACACAGCTGAGGTAACTAAGATTATAATCACACAGCAAAGAGAAGCTTTGGAGGAATTAGAAGAGATGGCTTCTAATTATCGCAAATATGTGACTGGAAAAAAGTAGAAAAAAGGGGAACTTTGAGAGCTCATTACATGGTCAGGATGTCTGCTCATATTTTAAAGCAACTTCAAAGGGAGCTGAGCAAAAATTGTCTCACGAGTGATAAATAAGCACCAATAATAAACCAGCATTGGTGACTTCACAGATATCACCAAAGAGGTTTTAAAAACATGTCCCATGTCCTCCTGCTGGCAGTACAGGGCTAATCAATGTGACACGGTGTGTGGGAAAGAACCAAGTCTTGAGGACTCTTCTAGCCTCCACATAGATTTTGATGTGACTGCCTCCTGTAGTAGATTGTGAATGTGCTCTGATAATTTCCCATCCCCTCCCTCACCCCAGGGCCAAACTGAAGCTTTTCCTTCCTTGTATAGCTTTAACTGTGGCCAGGAATAATTTTTGCTTGGCTTTTGCTCTGTAACCTGAAATTTCCATTTCTCTCTGTAGTTATAATACTCATTTAAAGTTATCATGAAGGCATTCTGTAAAGTTTGTATTTCCCCCCAAAGCTTACTGTTCTCATCATCTATAATTCTCAGGAGAAATAGAAACAGCTAGTAGAACCAGAAAACTAAATGAACAAAACACTCTTAGCTTATCACAGCGTAACACATCACCATCAGCTTTAAAGCACACCAGATCAATCCTTTCTAGGCCTGAGAATGACCTCCTGAAGAGTTACTAAGATGCTGGTCCACATGTTTGAGAGTTTCACCCCCAACCTTAGATGCTGTGTGAAATATGATCAAGGAGTACAAGGGACTCATTGTTACCAGGAGACACTAGCTGCATTGTCAAAACACCTACCTATCACCGGCAGCCTGAGACTCTGTTCTAAAGGGGCCTGAGAAGAGTTTCCCTTGAGCCAACATAAAAAGGATATTACAAAACACCAAAGTATTGATCTGTAGGTTAGTATTGATCGGCTCAAGGGGTACATATTCCCTCCAAAGCACTGAGCTGTTCTTTTGGTGTGTACCACACATGTGCAAGGCCAATGGAGACCAGAAGGGGGCATCGGTCAGGAGGTTGCGAGCTACCTGATGTAGGTGCTGGATATGAGCCTAGCCTTTAATGGCTGAGCCATCTCTCCAGCCGGATGAAGGTGCTGGAAACTGAACCCAGGTCCTCTGCAAGAGAACTAAGGGTTCTTAATTGCTGAGTTATCTTTTCAGTTGTCTTAGGGTTTCTATTGCTGTGAAGAGACACCACGATCATGGCAACTCTTATAAAGAAAAACATCTGATTGGGTGGCTCGTAATTTACAGTTCATAGATGCAGTCCATTATCATCATGGTGGGACATGGCTGCATGCAGGCAGACACGGTGCTGCAGAAGTAACTGCGTGCCGTACAACTTGCAAGCAACCAAAAATGGTCTCCAATACTGTGCATGGCTAGACCATATATGAGACCTCAAAGCCTGCCTCCATAGAGACACACTTCCTCCAACAAGGCCACACCTCCCAATAGTGCCACTCCCTCTGGGGGACCTTTTTCTTTCAAACCACCACACCAGCCATCCATGGAAATCTTAAAATGAGATTCCTAGGAATCTTCCAGAATATGCTGAGTCACAAGTGAATAGTTTCTGTGCCCAGCTTTGATAAAGATTAACATTTGGATCCAAAGTCCTTTCCTATTCTCACCTTCATTCCACTCTGAAGCTCTCTAAAGTCTAAAGCGTTTCTCTCTCCTGTCTTTATTCTTGTCTGATCCCATGCACCCTCCACCTGTCACTTAAGATCCCTGCTTCAGTTCTGCATCAGATGATTGCTGACTTGAAGATTCTCACCTGATCCTGACAGCAAAGATTATACAGCTGCTTTTTTTTTTTTTTTTTAAGAACTTCAGATGGAAAATTTCCTTTAAGAGGCCTCGTAGGTAGTTACTTTCTGTGGTGAGATAATGTTTATGATATATTAAAGCTTGCCTGAGGATTCAGAAAGCTATGGAAGCCAGGCACACACCTTTAATTCCAGCAGCCAGAAGCTAGGAGGTGATGGCACACACCTTTATTCCTAGGACTCAGGATTAAGAGATAGATGGATCTCTAGGAGTCCAAGGCCACCCAGGGATACATTAGAGTGAATCAGTCTAAAAGAGAATTATAGTCACACCTTTAATTCCAACATTAGGGAAGTATATAAGATAGAAGCTAGTTCTCAGAGCCATGCTGAGGAAAGGTTGCAATCTAAGACTTGGTGGGAGCTCATGGAGGCAGGACAAGCCCATTCAGCCTGAGGTAGAGCTAAGAAGCTAGTGAACAGCTGCTTTACTTTTCTGAACTTTAGCTCGAACTCCACATCAATCTCTGGGTCTTTTATTTATTCCTGTTACAACTTTCTCTCACCTCATCGATTCTAATCTCAAGTTATGCAAAACTGTATGTTGCTCCTGAGGTCAATATAAGCCTATCGGCAAGGCCAATCAATTTTAATTTATATTGGGGTTACTCTGACTGCCACAGCTGTTTGTTTTCCTCAGGGCTATCTGGACCTGTTTTTCAGGAACTCTTTAATTCCACTCAATGATGTCACTCTTGTACAGAGGTATTAAATAATCAAAACCAAAAAATTTTAAAAAGCAACAAGACAAAACCAAAACCCAGCCCCCATCCCCAAGCTCTGTCCCTCTTGAGACACAAAGTTTATGATAATGAAGATACTCATTATCATATCTGTGTTCCGCTACCTCTCACGTGACTTGAGGCTGACACCTTACTCTGATTCCAACCAGTCCTTACAATATTCCAGATAATTAAAACTATCATCTACCAAGAAATCATGCTTATGTATAGAGAACCGGAAACCTAAAATGTGGCAAGCACAGATAATTTGGGAGCACTCCCAGGAGGAATGGATCCCTTTTCATAAAGGTTGACTTCCATAGCAGGACTAGAACAAATACAGCAAAAATTTGCAGAAGGCAGATCTCTGTGAGTTTGAGGGCACCCTGGTCTACATAACGAGTGAGTTCCAGCAGGGCCAGGACTACATAGTGAAGCCGTCTCAAATAACAAAAATCAAACAGACAAAAACATTGGGGGACATGGAGAAATAACTCTACCCTTGATAATGGGTAGGGAAAACAGAAGATAAGCAAGGGAAGTAACAACTTAAGGCAATAAACCAACATGCAGAATGTTTTCTCCTTTAAAGTGCTTTGGTCATTTCTGTAAGTCATAAGTCTGTAAGTACATTCGGATGGTCACAAAACAGAGAAAGCTGCTACACTTGTTAAGAGACACGTGACTCGTTTTTAAGTCTCTGAATAAGATGGGCAGACATTCTAACCATGGATTAACAATCGGAATTTCTGCTTTCCTACTCTTTTGAATCAGGGGTTTATCTGTGATAGAAACAATCTCTTTGAATTCTGAAGAGACTGCTCTCTGCCAGGCGGAGAAACATCACCTTCGGACAACTGTCCTCAGCAGAGCCCTGCAGGAATCTGCCTTGTTTGACAAGGGATGAAGTGCCTAATCTCTTGTTGCCTGTACCTGCCATACTCAGCACTCCTTGGCGGGAGGATGGGGGAGGGACTGCAAGCATCGGGGCGGGACTGCAGGCGGAATCGCAACTTACGCTTTCCGGTCTCCTGGGGGCGGAGCTCATTAACTTTGCTTCTGCAGTTTACGCTGTCTGGCTAGGATCCCTGAGCCGGGTGTTTGCTGCCGGGCTGACTCTGTAGCGACAGGACCACACCGGGCGCAAGCCCCGCCCTGCTATCATAGAGCACAAGGATAAAGTCAAAGTTGTTCACCCCGGAGGCCATTGGACTCAGTTCCTGGCACCAGCACCATGCCCATGACACTGGGTTACTGGGACATCCGTGGGGTGAGCGACCACCTGACGGGTGGAAAGAATGAGGGAAGCGGTGTTGGGGAGGGGGGCTCTAAGGGAATCCCTTTGCCTGTCTAGCTCAGAGTCTTGCACACACGCTTGCTGGTGTGGTGCACTCACTTGGCCCAGGAGGTGTAGTCACGTAGACATCCCCAGCCCTCATTCCTGACCTATCTCTACAGCTGGCTCATGCCATTCGCTTGCTCCTGGAATACACAGACTCAAGCTATGAGGAGAAGAGATACACCATGGGCGATGGTAATGAGACTCTTCTGGTCAGACTTCTTTCCTACCCCTGTCTATTGGTGCCTAGCAACCCATTTCTGACCTCCACTACATTACTGGTGCACTTAGAGTCTTTCTCTTCCAGAGACCTCCAGAGGGTGGGCCTGATCTTTCAATACTGAACCCTAGGGGTGGAGGGGGTGGGTCCCCCCTCCTCCTGTTGAAATCAGATCACATTCCCCATGCAGGCTTGCCTAAACCTTTGTAAGATGTAAGGCCACAGTCCCAAGCACTCTTCATCCCTGGAACTGTAGCTTGTGAGACTCGTAGTGCGAGGTTGCAGATCCCTGGAATAGGAGTGTTGGACACTAGGCTGATTTCTTTTTATGTAATCTTATCAACCGCAGCTCCCGACTATGATAGAAGCCAATGGCTGAGTGAGAAGTTCAAACTGGGCCTGGACTTTCCCAATGTAGGTAGAGCAGAAGGGGAGGTCTGGGGAGGGCATGGCGTCCTTACCTCATCTCCTCGCCTGGCTGAGGGGAGTTGGGATCAGTGCTTTTCCTCTCCTGCTCCCATTCCTGGTGACTGACTGCACAGTGTTCCCTGATGGGCTGTGTCCCAGCTCTTCCATGCATTATGTAGTGTGCTCATGGAGGGCTTCCCATGCTAGCCACACTGAGTGTCAGGCCATATGGTCACATGTCTGTCCTAACTCAGGGAATTGAGTCTAGGACCTCATATCCCATCTGACTGTACTTGCTTATCCAAACAGCTGCCCTACTTAATAGATGGAGCGAACAAGGTCACCCAGAGCAACGCCATCCTGCGCTACATCGCCCGCAAGCACAACCTGTGTGAGTGGGGCTGGCTGCAGGGAGGGGCGTGGGGAGCATCCTCCTTGTCTTGGCTGGGGTGGGATGCTGAGGATGAGTCTCTGCTGTGTGTGCTGCAGGTGGAGAGACAGAGGAGGAGAGGATTCGTGTGGACATTTTGGAGAACCAGGCTATGGATGTCTCCAATCAGCTGGCTAGAGTCTGCTACAGCCCAGACTTTGTGAGTCTCGTGTGCCCTCACACTGGGCTGGACCAGGCAGTGTTTGGGTCAGGAGTCAGCTCTCTCGGATTCCCATCTGCACAGTTCTTATTTACCTTTTGAAGTTCTTAGCCACCTGTCCTCCACGATGTTTCCTGTGTTTCACCAACAGTACCCATAACCCTGAACTAGCAAACGGGCACTCTTAAGTTACGTAGGCCCTACTCTCTTAGGGCACCGTCCAGACTTACCAGAGTGGACATTAAGTTCCTGGAGAGTGGTCATGTTGTCCTAGAGTTCTCCACACGGTAGTTCACATCATTGCTGCCTATTTTCCTGTAGGTGGTTCAGGAACAGCTGAAGAGCTTTCTCTCCCTTCTTTCCTTCAGGCTCAAATACTCCTCAGTTTCTGAGGGAAACTCGAGTATGTGTCCTTCTTCTGGAACTGTTGTGTGGACCTCTCCTCCTCTCCTCTGAGTACTTTTCGTTCTCACTCCTTGGAGTGCCAAGTGCTCCGGGCACTCATGGGTTTGGGCATCAGGAATGATTATGTCCCATTGTAGATGGTGTGAGCTACCATGAAATCTAATCAGTAAATGTTGATAAGTTAAATCATAGCCTGGATGGTGATTCGGTCTCCATCTTAGTGGAGATGGCTGCCCACCCCTGACATAGTGATCGTTGTTTCTGCTTCAGGAGAAATTGAAGGCAGAGTACTTGGAGCAGCTCCCTGGAATGATGAAGCTCTTCTCACAGTTCCTGGGGAAGCAGACATGGTTTGTTGGTGAAAAGGTAAAAGAGAGTAAGTTAGGGGTTGTAATTCTCCCCAGGGGACAGAACTTCACTCCCCCTAATTCTTGGCCTTTTACAGATTACTTATGTGGATTTCCTCGCTTATGATATTCTGGACCTGCACCTTATATTCGAACCCAAGTGTCTGGATGCATTCCCAAACCTGAAGGACTTTGTGGCCCGCTTTGAGGTGATGCCCTGATCCTCCTTCCTCTTGGCTGTCAACTTTTCCCTGGCGTTTTCTTGGGCTTGGAGATTAAGTGAAGATTAAGTGGCATGAATTGAGCACTTGCTTTCTGCAAGAATCTGTGCTCAGCACCTTATGTCTATTGATCAAGTTTACCATTACAGCGTTCCTCAAGGGTGGGTGGAATTCAGTCCCACTGCTCAGATAAGGAAATGTGAAACTGGAAGGGCTCACTTACCCGTTCAGGGTTTGAGCACCATCCTCATGGCAGCAGGTAGCGGCTACAGCCTGGGTTAGGAGGGCAAGTCAAAGGAAGATGCTGTGTGTACCAGGATGTAACCAATGCTTTACTTGATCTGCTGAATGCATTGCTGAGCCCTGTGTGGGGACCCTGTCAGAGAACTTTGTCCTGAAATGTGTGTCACGGGCTTTTCTCCCTCACTCCTTTCATTTTTTTTCTTTTGAGTGTCCGGTATGCTGACTTTGTTGGATGTAAGATGTCACAATATACTTAATTTTAGATGTATTTCCTGATTTCTATACAAGGCACATGTCATGCCCAGTAAGAAAGGAAGAGTGGTCCTTGGACCCACTATCATATAGCATCTGGCATACCAGACTGGAAGGTGTGTGTGGTACTACCCGGGTTCTGGGGAGCCCTGATTCACCAGACACTATTTGTCTGATACCTACACCACCTAATTCATTAGAAATTTGGGGGTTGGAGACCTCGGTCGGATGGGGCTTCAGTCTGGAACTCATTTTTCTCTCCCATTCCTTATTGAGCGATGTGCTTTCTCAACTAGTCCTCATCATTTGGTTCAAACTGAGTGGTTTTGAGAAGAACGAGGCTGGGGAGAAGTTGAAGGCTGCATTGTTAGGTTAAATGTGAACTTGAACTTGGTCCCTTGGATACAGACAGCTCTGGACTTTGTTGAACTCTTTAGAGATTTTTCTGGGGGCTCGCTCTCCTGGAAGAAGGCCAATAGTACAGTAACTGTCATTGAGCCTGCTCCCTGAATCAAGGCTGGAGACAGGATGGGTTGAGGCTCTGTGCCAGGTACAGAAGTTTGGCTGTCTCCTTAGGAAATGATTCGAGTGAGCCCGGCTTTCTTTTCTGGTCTACTTATATCTTTAAACTTTGACCCTGTTTTACTAAGACATTGGATGAGATAGGGGTTATCTGCCAATGTGCTCCTTTGTCCTGTGCAAACCCAGGCAATATGGAGTTTAGGTGTGCAAGAGGAGCATGTCTACATAGATGGGTTGACAGGGCCTCTTAGGGAGGGCAGGAAGGGAGTGCCAAGATTACAGTACTGGAGAGACGGAGGCCAGAGATGTGTGTGTGAGCAAGAGGAAGTTGATTACCCTCTCCGGCCCTGAGCAAATCTCTGTTTTCTTTTTCTTTTCTAACTCTTAGGGACTGAAGAAGATCTCTGCCTACATGAAGAGTAGCCACTTCCTCCGAACACCTCTGTATACAAGGGTGGCCACGTGGGGCAATAAATAGGGCCTTGGCAGGGCAGGAGAATGAGGAACCTGGGGCTCTGGAACAGTTGAATTTCCTGTAACCCTGGCACGTCCTTCTTTCTGTCTCCTTTCCGACCCCAGAATGTCATGGGTCCCCTTTTCTTTTACCCGATCCCTGCCCTTTCAAGCCCTTTAAAGCCTCGGCTCCTAGTTTTCCTTCAGCAAAATGCCCGTCCAGCATGACTGTCCTGCACCCACTTGACAGCCTTGCCTGCCAGGAGTCTAGAGGAGCCTGATGTGGAAGGTCAGTCTCTCCCTGGCCTTGTCAGGTACCTATTGTAAGGCCTGAACCACACTGGCCCTGGCTACTGCACTGCCAGTTTTCACCGCTACCTTCAAAGACTGACCTGAGACCTGGCGAGATTCTGGTTGGACGAGCAGGGCTTTGGGGCTTCCTGACCCCATGTGATAGCCTCACAGCAGGCAGCTGCAGGAGGCTCTGTGGAGCTCAAAGGGAGCATTGTGGGGTTTATACAGTTCTCCTGGGTGAGGACCCAGGCTGGTGAGAGTCCCCAGCAGTAAGCCAGAGTCTCTCTGCCACCTATTTGTATGGCTGCATTTTATATATGCTTCCAGGATCCCGTCTCCTCTGTCTCTGATGCCTTCGGAGTATCCTGTCTTGGACACCAGAGATAGGGGCCAACTTGGTTAATCCCTTCTCTCTGTGAGGCTCTGTGAAATAAATTTCTTCATGCTTTCATAGTTTCAGGTGTCTTCTCTTATCATTTATACCAGCAGTACTTTGGCTAGGTATAGGATTATAGGGTGAACTTTTGGGTTTAGAGGATCCCCCTCTTCAGAAATGGCGTATTTCTCTTGGGGAGAATCTTGTCACTGTGACTAGGACTCGTTTGTATGTGCTCTACTTTCATGCTTTGGATGGCCACCCTTGTCTTGAGATCCTCAAGTCAAAGTCCTCGCAGAGATCGGTACTCAGCCTGGCGCTTCTTCACATGTGTTCACAAACTTCCCTAGCATAGACTTCTCCCATTCAGATTTCAAAGAAAGGTGCTCTGGGCTGACTGGCTGCCTCCAAGAGCCAAAGGCCATTGAAGAAAAGCCACACCAGTCATGAGCAACCCTCTTTATGAGTTGTTGGTCAGGGCTGTCCCAGAACATTATAGGCTATAACATTGGTATTGGTTGCCCCCTCCAAGAAGTGGAAGTGAAGCCCCAATTGCTGAAGTTACTATACACTTCAGACACAGGGCCCAGAGGCTCCTACACACCCGAAACCCTCTTCCCTGAGGACTAACTTTCATGGTGCCAGAAGGAACTGTGCAAGCTTTCAAAGGAGGGAGGCAACCAGTATTTCTCAGCTGTGATGCCTATGAACCATAGTAATGAGTAGTACGTTGCAATAACCCTTAGGGTGCAGTAATGGCATGCATACCTTCATGATAATCAACAGCTCTCTAATTGGACTTAAGGCCTGTTCAACAAGAGGAAAAACATGCCTGGAATAGGAAACTTAGTCTGTTGCCCAGGGCTAGTGAAGTCATGGATACTGGAGACAACCTACTACTGCCACTTTACATAAACCAGCATGATACCTGATTACACTCTAAGTATTTGTCCTTATAACTACAAAGAAGTCTGGTCTGCACTCCTAATCAAGAAACTTCTCATTGCAATATATGAAGAGCATTTCAGAAAACCATAACCAATCAAAACACAGCGTTATGCAGCCCTATTCCACGGATGCCATCTCAACCCCTACACAGAAAGCTTGGAGATCACTGCAGAAGAGGGGATGGGAAGATTAAGAGCCAGAGGACCAGGGTGTCTGCTGTGAGACTGTGTCTCCTAGGAATGTCAGAAGCTACACCTGTGACATCCCACCAGCATGGCTGCATAGGTATAAGCTGAACAAGGACAGCACCGACAGGTATGCTAAAGTGGGCAGTGAGAAAGCTCATGAGGCTTAACTCAAGATAAAGAACTACAGGCAACTCAGGAATGCAGAGAGTGGGAGAAACCGTCCTCCCCAGGGAAGAGCACTCTATTGGTTATCCACTACCAAATGGTCAGCCCTGAAAACACACATACAAGAAACATAGACTGAGCAGATTGTAGTCATGTAGTTAGAACACACACAGGCACACACGCATGAACACATACGCGCATGCTCGCACACACTCATGCATGCACATGGGCGCAGCGATTAATGAAAAAAGAGGCCATGGAATTTGAAAAAGAGGGAGGGATATATGGAAGGGTCTTGAGGGAGAAAAGAGAAGGGGGAAATGATGAAATTATAGTCTGAAAAAATAAATGGAATAATAAAAATTGAAACAAAGCTCATATCAACACAATAATTGCAACTTGTGTCAGATTCATTACTCACTAGTCCTTCATCTGTGTGGTGTTCTCCTGAAGTGATTTCAGGAGATTCCAGGGTTCCTAGCAGGTAAGGATAATGGGAAGGTGGGAGAGCCAAGATAATCTGAGTTCAATAGAGAGCATGGTGAGTTGTTTGATGAGTCCATTGGCCCTCTCAACTTTTCTTGAGGATTGTGGGTGGCTGGGGATGAGGAATTTCCAGATGTTTAGGGCTTCAGACAAGAGCTTGATGACCCTGGAAGTGAAGGCTGGCCTGTTTGGATGGCGTGTGGTACATCAAACCAAGGGATGATGTGTTCAGGTCATACCTGAGCCACCATATCTGCTGTTTCCCTGGAGGTGGGGAATGCCTATATCCATTCTGTAAAGGCGTCAATAAGAATTTGGAGATAGCGGAGCCTTTTATAAGTGGGCATGTGGGTGAAGTCAACCTGCCAGTTCTCTCCCAATTGATGTCCTGGGAGATGGTCCTGGAGGCACCCTGTGGGTTGGCCTTGGCACAGGTCTGGCAGGAGTGGACCTGTAAAATACAGGCTCAAAGATGGATGGGATCAAAGAGGGGCTGTAAGAAGTGGAACAAAGCCTTGGGGCTTATGAATAAGGTTTGGTGGATGTCTGAAATGACAGAGAGTACTGATCCTGGGGGGAGGATGAGGTAGTTATTTAAGTAGAACTGTCCATCTTTTTTGTCTGTGTGGCCCTTTTTTCAGGAGTTCGTCCCTCTCCTCTGGATGGTTACAGGGCTGATAGGAGGCTGTTAAACCCAAGATATATCCTGTAGATCCAGTGGATCTGGAGGTCAGTCTCCAGGCTACTGAGTCAGCCCTGGCATTGCCTAAGGCCACTGGGTCCTTTGAGGATTAATGTTCCCAGAAATGAATTGTGGCTACCTCTGCAGAAGCTGGAGAGCTTGACTAAAAGGGATCCATTGACAATGGGCCTGCCCTTGGAAGTATAGAAGCCCCTTTCTTTCCAAGGCAGATGGATATGGGACATTAAAAAGGCATATTTAGAGTTGATGTACATGTAAGCCTGTTGACTCCTAGTTATCTGGGGAGCTCTAGCTCTAGTCAAGGTGATTACTTCAGCCTTCTGTGAAGAGATCCCCACCGGAAAGTGGGTTGCTTTAACTCTTATGTGGAAGTGGCTGCCGCATAAGCTGCTGGGTGGTTTCCTGATCTGTCAATAAGAGAGCTTCCATCAACAAAGAGGGTGAATTGGGGTCTGTGAGGAGTTGGTCTAGGAGGCCAGGGTGGGGTGAGTGTAAGGCCTTCACAGCCTCTGGGTAGGAGTAGGAGAGGTATCAGAGGAGGAAGGGACAGGGAGGAGGGTTGCAGAGACTTGTGAGGCAATTTCAGGAAGAAGATGGGAGTCAGAAGAGAGTGTGGAGGCCAAGGAGAGGGTGGCTCCAAAGTGGCTGAGGATATCATGGCCAAGTAAAGGTAATGGGCAAATGGGTATGACTAGAAAAGAGTGTGAGAAGAATCGTCCTGCAAGAATGCAGGAAAAAGGCAGAGCATAGGCAGAAAGGAGGAGGTCTCATCCTCCTTTGATAAGGGAACTGTGGGGCTTGAATGAGAGGTCAAGACAGAAAAGGTATCCCCTGTGTCCACTAGGAAGGTGATGGATTTACCTGTTACCTGAAATGTTACCCTGGGCTCAGTGAGGGTTATGGGAGTCTCCATGAGTAGGTGCTCTCAGTCCTCCACCAGGCTGAGTAGCTCCAAGTCTAGAAGAGTCTCAGATGGCTGTGCTAGTGGTGCTGAACCTCTGTTCTATGACATAGAGGACCAGCCCACATGGGGGCATTCTGATTTCCCTTGACTAGGCTGTAACAGACAGGGCATGGACCTGTTGGCAGCTGAGTGTTGGGGCAACATTTGAAGTAAGCCCCTGGTGGAGTTGACTTTGGCTGGGCCTGAGAGAGATGGTGCCTTGTGGACTTCCCCTGTTCCCTCTCCAGGAGTGCTGATGGTGTGAGCTTGGAGCATATCCTTCTGTTACAGCGAGTCTGCCAGGAAGCCTCAGCTGCTTTGTCTCAGGAATTAAAAACCTTATAGGCCATTTCCACCAATTCCTTTTTGGGCGTTTGGGGACTATTGTCAACCGTTTTTAGTCCCCAAATCCTACCCTTTCAAAGAATCGCCAAGAAAGAAAAAATGCCAAAAAGTCTAGTTCTGCATTCTTGGAGGTTGTGGCAGCTCCTCCCCTGAAGTTGCAGGAGCCCAAATCCCCACCTAAAGGGCTCAACTTTTGACCATGCTTGGGCACAAATCCAGCTTGTGGGAGACACATCGTCACCTCTTGCCTACAGGGTATATAAGCTCCCTGCTTTAGTATGGGTGTGTGACTTCTCCCGCCTTGCTCTCTGGAACTGGAGAACTCACACGGGGAATTACTTTGCTCAAATAACTCTGTTCATTTACTTTTCCATTTTGGCTTGATCTGGCTTACTGCATTGGCAGAGAAACCTATTATGGAGCTACAGAAAACCTATTATCTTGATACGGAAAACCCAGGAGGAGTTGAGCTTTCTAGCTAAGTAGACTGGGTCCTCCGGCCATGTGGGGGCCCACTTCTTCCCCTTCCTCTCTGCCACCTACAGAGATACCGGGTCCGTCTTCCGGGTCAAGACCTCTTTTGGGTCAAGAACCCACTGTCAAGAGGGGGCTGCACTAGGGCAAGCCCAATCCATTTCTAGAGCAGAGACAGTAGGGTTTGGGGAGAGGGGGTGGGGAGGGAGGAATGGGGCTTTCTGGATCATGCAGGGTGAGCTGGAGGTTCCAACCAAACAGACTTACAGTCTGTCTCTTCAACTTGACTGAGATACGCCACTGACTTCCATGCTTCTTTGAATTGTAGAGATCCTGAACTTCCTCACTCCGTAATTTTTTTTTCATCCAGTTCCAATCATAAGTTACTCATGTATAATGCATTGACATCTATTTGTTCTGTTTCTATGGAGAACCTTGATTATATATAGCAAACACAGAAATTAATTACAGCAACAAAATAAGTCCATAAAGAAATAAAGCACAAAACTCAGCCTTTGCTTTTCGGGGGAGGAGGGCTTTTTCTATTTGGAACAGATTGGGTGGAGGCTTAGAGGTGAATTATCTTTTTCTGTCCAGGTAAGACTCTCAGTTCTTTAACAGTATTTCTTGGGGGAGTCCACAGGGAAACCATCCATCTGCCTGAACAGTTCATTGGTAAGAGAGTATCGGACAGGCTGGCCAGGGGGTGGGCATTGGCAAGGAGCTGTGATGGGGACCCCATCATTGCTGTCCTGGGCTGATGGGAGCCATCATGCACTTACAAATTTAATTTGTGGCCCTCCCTGTGTGGCATTGGTTTATTTT